TTTAGAGATGAATAAGGAATTCACCCCTGAAGTAGAAAGATGTTCCTTGGGAAACGGCTTGGGTTAAGAAATATCTTGTTTTATGATTTATCTATTGTTTGATCCTACGTGATTTTTTGTTATCGTGAATACACTTTTCTAAAACCTTGCTATCATTTTCAATGATATATTTAAAAAGAAAAAGATGAAGAACATATTTTATGATTAAAATATGTTTCCTAAGTGTAATATGCTCAAAAACTTGTAGTAGCCTACAAAAATAGATTTGTTATTCTATGTATCTCAGAAAACTACGAAGCTTTCGTTGCTAAAGTGTAGGTACAATTATAATACTGTTACGACAGCGGAAGTCACGTGGCGCTGGTAGCGTCCCGTGAAATTTCTCGAATTATCGGGGAAGACCGAGTTTGTTCGAGACGCCCTATTCTTTAGTATATAAGCCTGGCAGTGAAAGCCACCGTGAATAATAAAGTGTGTGTTTTGCACTCCTTGATAGGGAGATTATCGAGATTGTGAATCGCTGTGATTTATAGCGTGTATTATAAAATTTTTTAAGTTTAAAGTGACGAGAAATGCACTGACGGTGCAATTACTGTGTACTAAAAGTCTGTATCGAGAAAGAATAAACTGGTTTAATCAAGAAAGGACTTGTATCGCTGAAGTTCCCGGGAAAGAATTTCTACCCGAAATTAACAAACAAGCAGATACGTAACAATACCCACTACTTTTTGGTGTTAAGCTTTTATTTTTTCCCGAAGCTTTAGCATGCAGAAACACCAACTAGTCTTTCTGCTAGTCCTACATACGAAGTATAGGTTGTTTTCGAGATGTAACTATGTTGTAGTTGTGTTCGTGTGTTTATTTGAAGAACGCGAAAAACAAATGCAATTACATTGACATCTGTTTAGCGCTGCTGTCATCTATAGGGCAAAATGGTAACTATAATTAGCAAAGGTTTTGCTTGTAAATTCAGTCGAAATACATAACTCTACTGATGTTAAAATGCTCAACTGGGACAAAAGCATCAGTTACAGTAAATATTGTATATTGTGTCGTGTTTTCTTGAGAAATCCAGCCAGATTTATTTTTTCTAAAGAAAATATTTCAATCCTAACAAATTTTATAGTTGTTTAAATATTTGTTTAACAACAAATAAAAGCTTGGAATGGTCTATTCTCTCATTGGGGATGCTCTCATGAGCGGAATGCTACAAGTTCTTCAAATACCTTTAGAATGGTAGGTTTCTTTTTTGTGAAAGTGAAAAACACTTAAATACACCATTTCAAATTTTATGACGGTTTTGTTTGTTTGATGTCAAGCACAAAGCTACACAATGGGCTATCTGTGTTCTGTCTACCACGGGTATCGAAACCCAGTTTCTATCATTGTAAGTCTGCAGAAATACCGCTGTGCCATTGGGGGGTATTTTATGACGGATACCTATCTGAGGGTTTTAATTGAGGTAAAGAAAAATAAAAAAACAGAGAGAAAGAGAGAAAAAAAACGTTTGTTTTTTCAAGGGCAAAGTCACATTGGACTGTCTGCTGTGTCCACTGCGGGGAATCGGAATCCTGGATTATAGCTCTGTAAGTTTGTAGACTTACCGCTGTCCCACCGGATAAGAAAAGAAAGAGAGAGCGAGAGTTGGAGTTAGAAAAAATTATTGGTATATGCTGAGGGATTTTGTTTTATTAAAGTAGCAATGTTTTATCTATTAATATATTTTTTTCAAGAAAATGATCAGAGTTAAAATTTTATGTTTTCATTTTTTACTGTCATTTCATATTTTATATTTTAGCTTATATTCACGTTACTTACATTTGTGGACTAAAATTTCGAACCGGGTCATTATATTGAGTGAAATGCATATTTTAAAACTAGGTCTAAACTGGTATAGCTTGGTATCTACCGTAACTGATGAGTTCACTTTGGGTGTTTCTGTTGTTATGTGAACGGATGACAGCGATAGTAATTTGTACTCTGTAATTCAGGTATTTTAAAAAACAAAAACAATTCAATACTGAGATCATACCTGGATCAATTTTTGCTGAAATATGCTGTAATATAAAAGTAAAGAAAAACAAGGGAATAAAAAAAACATCAAAACAAGCATATAATAGAAATTTAATCATAATTATTGAAACACAAATTATTACCAATAATTTTGTCAACAAAAAAGATAAAAAACAAAACAATGAAAGTTCGACCGAATATAAGACTGGAAAATGGAAAACGGAGGTCTCAAGAGGCGCTACGGAGCAGAGGAAAAAGTCTACATCTCCAGACGACAGTCACATATCCTTTTACATAGCTTTGAATCTCTAACTGCAAGGAGTGCTTTAGTGATGAAAGGGTTCAACTCTGTACAAATGTACTTATAAAGCATACTTTGTGACAACAACAAAATACTTTTATATTAAACAATTAAAAATTATGAACATTAGATATATATATAAACCTTTTCTTTTTAGACTAACGAAATCAAAACTTTGTGATTGGACGTATAATTTTATATATTGTTTCATTGGATTGTGTTACTTCCTGTTTTCATCAAGGAACTTTCTGTATCGTAACTTTTCATGCGTTGTTTTTACAATATACAAATATTATATACGTTTTAAATTCCATTTTTTTCCAAATGGTTATTTTGATAAGTTTTCAACAGAGTGAATAAAAAGTGACTTATAGCCACAACGTTAATTATACTCTCGAACTAGACTGATTGCCACTATGTTTCTTTTAAAGTTTTTTCTAAGAGTACTGAGTAGTCACGTGACCAATAACTCAAAAGATTTACTGTTACTGAAGAAAATATTTCGGCTAAATTCTATTTTCTTGTGTTGAAATTCCCGAATGGAAGTCATTAAATACTGGATTAAACTAGCTAGTGTGGAAAAGTATAACTTACCTCTTCCAATAATTCTTTCATACATCTATTTTATTATGGTATTTCATAGAACTGTTTGATTTGGTAAAGATGCACACTTCAGTTCACTGCTTTTCTTCGTTCTAACTTACT